AAGCACCAGTTCGGCAGGTATTTTGCGCTCTGTCTTTTCCAAGGAAAATATGTTTTCTCTTTTGCTAACCACCATTTGTTTCTCTGCTGGGAGATAGTAGAATGGGAACACAAAGCGCCAGTTGAAGTTGCCCTCTCCTGTCAAGGAGTTGTAATGTACATCTGTCTCCTGCTTGTCCTCTTCCAGGCCCTTTATCCACCTATGACAAGCACATAGTGGAACACACTGCTGTCACCAGGGGAGCTGGAGTTGTGGTTGTCGTTATTCAGTTACAAGCCTGATAATTTACTCATTCCTCCCTAACCAGTACGAGGTAACACACCCTTCAGGACTGCAACACACAGTGACAGCCCTGGCTCAAGGATCTCAGCTACCTCCAAGCCATGGCACAGGCTGCAGCAGTGGCCAGTGATGATCAAAATTTGAGAGTGAGAATGTGATTTCTATTTAGATCAGACCCCAAAATACCAGTTGGCCTTTTACTATTGGCCAAGACCAGCAAAGACAGCATCATTCATTTATCCACTACTAATCACCCTGTATTCATGTTGTGCCACACTAATAAACTGTGTCAATGTCCCAAGACTGATTTAAGTGCTCAGTATTAGAGTCTAAACCATTTGCAGTTGCGGTTTGAGGGGTATAAATATGCCATAAATAAACAAACCTGTCTCCCTGATTTTTCTTGTGATTTCCTCTTGGTTTCTGCTACAGTGTGCACACCATCTGATGTACAATACTATGTTACAAAAGGACAACGCTTTCCTAGACATAATCTCTTCTGAAGAGCTCCACTGAGGTAATGATCCAGCTAGGTATGTTTTAGTTCTGAAGACAATTTATCACAGCTTGAGTAAAGATTAGCATTTTTGTGCTGCATCCAAAGAGTGGCTTTTCCCCTGCAAGCCTCATTATTTCAAAAAGGAATTGGGAAAAACAGTAACAATCTCAAGCACAGCACTGCCCCCAGTGCAAATCCATGCCTGGTGGCAGATTCAGTGCCACGTGCACTGTCTGAACATAATGAGATTTATGTCTTCATCATTAAGGTACAGAAACAAAAAGTTATCCGCTCCTGGCTTTCCCCGTCAGACCGCTCTGGCATTGGTAGTGATATCCTCATGTTATCACACAGCTCAGCACAAAGGCTGGCTCCCTATTTATTTCCTCAATTTTGCTCTCTCAGAGCTACTCTGCTACTGCTCTGAACACGTTAGTTTATTGCTAAGTTGGATATATCTGTGTGAACACCAGTGATTTAGGAGTAGCTCCTCTCAGAGAACTGCAAGGGGAGATTTGCTCAGCCAGTGTGTGCAATAACCGCACTTGCAGCATGCTGCGGGCCATACGGTTGTATTTGTGCGTGCTTCACCTGGGCTAATATCACCTGCTCCAAAAGAGTGGTACCACTCCTCGTGCACCACACAGCTTTGTCAGAGCTAACGCAAATTTCCCTGGTGAAATGCATGTAGATATACCCTACACAGGAGTAAGAGCTGCTAGCAGACTGCCCTGTCCTTATGATTATTTTGGATTTCTTATTATGTTCACGTGATTTTCAGAACCTGCAAAGTGGAAAACATCCTCCCTTCCCTGTTCCATCAGTCCCAGTGCTCCCTCCTCCAGCTCTTTGCATTTGGTCATTGGCAATACTGCAACAGCTTTTTAGGGAAATTAATTTTTCCATATGCCTAGCGCTCTACAAATTCAGATTTTTCCAGGACTCCACAATGACACAAGTCATATTAGCATATTCATCTCACTCTCTAGCAGTGGAAACACAGCAAGAAATCTAAGACCAGTCTCACACTTGAGATTTCCAATAGTTCCTACTGCCACTTATGCCATCATTTCCCCCCACCCCTCTCTGCTACTTGTATTCAAATTCATCTCAGAAGCAGAAAGTGCAAAGCAGTACTCCAAAAGAGGCAAGTAATTTTAAGAAGTAACCTGCTACAATCTCAGGAAAGAGCTGGTTTGAGTGTCAAGCTCCCCTTTCGCTCTCTCTCTTTTCATTTTATTTATGTGATATGGTTTACTGATTATCCCAGTAACATCTGTGAAGCTGTGACAGACATTTTGTCTCCAGCATGAAGGAGGTGGAGAGCAGAAAGTGCCCATGTGATGTTCTCCCCAGCATGGCCATGGTCATTCACCCACACATGCTCCCCACATGAGATTAGAAAATATTTCCAATAGAAATAGCCTGGCAAACGTCTGCTTTCTTGTTTCTAATGTGGTCATAATTACCTTTTCTCTGATTATGTCAAACCTCTCTGCATCTGTGTAAGCTCTTACAGTTCAAGTTCTGTAAGTGTTTGATCTCTGTTTGCTAAACTGTGGGCTTGGTTCTCTTCTTGTGCCATCTCTGCCTGAGTGGGAAGTAACAACTAGTCTCATTTTATAGTTACTTGATTTTAAGAGGGAAAAAAATAAAAAAGAAGCAGTATCCAATACAGATGAGTAATCTGGGGAGGCATTTAGAGCAAAGTGCCAAGGTCACAGAAATAGCTTATCAGATATTCTCACAAGGTAATTCTTTCGTCTGATTTTTGAATGAAATATTACATGTTCTTTTGAAGACAAGTCCTGAAGAACTTACCCTTTTACATAGATATCACTTGATTTTTGCCCTGTAAAGATATTTTCATCTTCTAGAATTACATCCTCTGTGTTCCAGATTATTACCCTCAATTCATAGCTGAAAAAGAAAAGAAAGTAGGCCTGTGTATACTCAAGCTCTGGTCAGACAGTAATGTAAACGTCTATCAGATCATGTTTTTAGAAAGTGAGGAATGTTGTAGTTGTGCAAAACTCTTAAAATAGCATCAGCCTCAGGCCTCTTCTATTTACAAGTGTCTAGTGATAGAGTGGGGATGGTGGCTCCTCTCAGCCCTTGGAGCATGCTGGACGACAGCGGGGTCACTGCCAGCTTCAGAGGGATGGAAAATTCCTTGCTTTTTATGTGTCTGTTCCTTTTCAATTCTTTTCACAAAAATGCTGCAGTGAAACAAGACAAAGTTGATCTGAACAACATCAGCAAAGCAGTCTCCAAAACAGTGAGCAGCTTGCTAATAAAAAGCAGAGCTCCCTGGGAGGTGCTTTTCAGATTAAATGCCTAAAAACTTTGTATTTGGTGCAATCCAGTGCATTAAAAAGGAGGAGAAGCACTGTTTAGAGATATTATCATTTAAGCAAATGCAATTGTCTTTAGAAGCAACAGTAAAAGGAATTTTTCCCATCCTTTCTATTCCCTATATACAGACATTTATGGTGGCCATCCAAAAGTCTAGAAGCTTGAACTGAAATACAGATGTTGCAGGTGACATAAAAAACATATTCAAAAATTTAGGTATGCCTTAAGTCATTGTATGAACTGCAAAATAATAAAAAAAAAACTATGTTTGAGAACACCAACATAAGATTTTTCTGATATGATGTGTTGTCTTGGAAATAGCCTCAGTCTCAGGTGTGAAACAGTTTGTCCCAGAAGTTACCAGATACCCTAGGTCATGGAGCTCTTAAGGAGATGTCGACCATGAAAACCAAGCCTCTGCACCAGCCAAAGAAACTTTCATCTGTAATGTTCCATCAGCTCCTTATTCAGTTGAAGATAGCCAACAAGAAATGTTTTCACAAAGTGTTTGAAGTCTTATGGCACTTAGAGCCTGTTTTGCTGCAGGAAATACGCATTTCTCAGCAAAATGTGTAACTATGTTTACTTTCTTTCTCATAATTAATGTTTTGACAGTATTTTCCCCTGCTTTTGTAGACTATAAAAATGGCAGCAACAATTTGGTTTTGTGGGTATGATTAGTTTAAAATCTTTTTGGATTGGAAAATGCTTGTTGTTAAGGAGCTTTATAGAAAGTTCTGGTCTGAAGAAAGTAATTGTTACATAAACTCTTGTTTTTGTCAAATCTTGGCTTTTGTAAAGGAAAGGAAAAGAAACAAGTTTTTATTACATTGTTTCTTGTTCAAACATAAATAATACAGGAATAGTACCTGATGCTGCTTCAGACATAAAATTCTCAGGAAAGGCCTTGCTAAAATATTGCAATAAAGCTGATACAAGGTGGGCTGAGAACTCTGTTGCTCATTTTTGTGTTTCATTTAGAAACATTCAATTAGCTTGAAGACCTATGTGTAGTGTTGCATATAAAGCAGCATAAGTATCTGTGTGAAATTTGAGAGAAGGTTATTCCAAATGTATCTCTTCTATCTGTTGCTGCTTTATGTGTTTCTTGATCTTATCTTTGAACAAAGTGCTGGAAATCCAATAAGTGTAATATTATTGCATCAGATTAAAGATCTCAACCAGGGTCAAGTAAGTTATCTAGCTGAAAGGGGTAGTGAAACCAGAATTACTTCTTTCAGCTCAACAAGTGGATAATAATATCAGAATTATTAAGAGACTCTTGCCTCTAGCCACCTGCAATCTCTATATGAAAAAGGGATATCTTTCCAAAAGAGGTGTGTGATAGCCCTTGATGAAAAAATCACCAACAGTTCTTTGAGTTGTTTAATGGAGGAGACCAAACTAGATGCTCTCTTTTGACTTGAAATTATGTGAACCTAAGAAAACTTTTCTCAGGACCACAGAAGTTTGTTGTGATAGTTCTTTTTATATTTCTTTCCAGACACTTAAGAAAGCCTCAGTCTTTGAAGACTTATGCCACTGTGCTGGGAGGAAAGCATAGAGTTACCCTTTGGGTTTTCTTGGTGAAATGTCCACTGGGGGTCCTGGTAGAGGCATATCTTGAGGAAACATGTCGACCCACATCTGTACACGACCCTTGAAAACAAAGAGATAAACATCTCTGTAACCCTATTTTAAAGAGACTTTAAAAGGTTTCAAATGTATTTCTGACATCCAAACCCACCACTTCCTCTATAAACACCAACCAGCTCACTATCCTGCAACTATGATTTAATCTATAAACTTACTATACAATATATTTTTTTCATACACATTTTCTATCAGTCTCTCAGGAATTTGGTGAAGTCAGAAATGAGCTCAAACATTGGCAACTTCAAGGTAAAATCCATGTAAAAATAGTATGTGATGAAAGGAAAAAAAAGAACCAAAGCCCAAATACAAGCAGAGTTTGTGTTAACTTAATAAACTAAAGCATTTAAAAGAATGAAAATATGCAGTCACACCTTGTGTGATTACTGTGTATTTAGGTAACTGGCTGTATACATACATGTGTGACAATTTCCAGGTTGATACTGTATAAAGTCTTGTGTATGGTACAAAATTTGGATGCTGTCTCTGTAAGTTTGCAGGTACAAATAGAAACCACAGTAATTGGAGGAAAGGAAAACTGCTCCTGGGTCTACCATCACCACCATCTCTGAGCTGCTCTACCTGTTCCATGCCTGGCTTATCCTTATGGTAGAGAGGCCGAGACTCAATGTGCTCTGGGACCAGTTTATATCCAGCTCCAGGGATTTCTTCCCAAGCACATAAAACCTTTAAGGAGAGATGTTCATGTGATTCAACTGGCTCCTCTATAGGAAAGAGTAAAACAAAAAGAACAAAGAGAGCTGAATTATAATGTTGAACCCTTTGGTAATATGTTCCATTCATTATTAAAGATGGTCATTAAAAAGCTGCTTGAGTTAAAAGGAAGGTTTTATGTATCCCAGATAAGTAAAGAAGGGTCTTGAATGCATTTAATTCTTGTAAATAAAGGTACCCACCAGGGTAACTAGAAGATTAGCACTTAGGCAATAGTTTATCTATAAAACACAACAAATCATTTCACTATTACAGCAGCAGTTTCTGATAGGAAGATGGAAGAAACCTGTGAACTACTCTTTTTACAGAAAATTGCAAATGTGAGGCTTTTTTAGGGCTCATGAAAGACAAGGAGGCTTGGATTTTGACAGAGCTGACAGTAAATAGGCACTAGGAGTTATATCTACACCTCATTTTGCCTTGTGGTGGCAATAGCAAAGACTCCCCTGGAGAACCGAATCATACCTCAGAGGAAGAGGGTTGAAGTCCATGGGCAAGAACATGTCACCTCCTGACCAGCTAAGCTTGGCCACTGGAGGAAGGGAGACGCCAGAGAATGGCCCCTCAAGGAAGGACCAGTGCTAATATTGAAGGTAGGGTGGATATTGGAAAGCAGAGAAAGCTTTTTCAGCTCTTGAGCTTCTCTTTCCTCCCTTTTTGTGTGGGCTCCACACAAACAGAACCCAGACTTTTGGAGAGGGATGTCTCCTAGATTAGGAGAGGAGTACCCAAGTGAGAAGAAAGTTAAGACTTCTTTCTGTCAGCAAACAGTGTTCACTTTTCCTACAGTGTTGCTCTCTCTGAATTGCTAGTAGGAGGTAAAAGGTTTGTTTGGGATTTAAACAGTAGGTATTAAACCCTTCCTAATGGCTCAGGGAGGGAGGAAGGATAACCCTGTGGTTATGAGTCCTAGTTCCCACTTGTGCACTGACATGTGTTTGAGATGTGATGTGTTTAATTTTAGCCAGCTAAAAGCAAGGTCTTTAGCCTGAGCTACTCAGTCAGGCAGCCTCAACAGCAAGGACAGATTGTCCCATGATAATCCATATCCTCTCTCAGGCACCTTTCTAAAGATTGTTTTCACCCTCTGAAGATGCTTATTTCTTCCCATTGGCTACAGGTAGTCCTAGACTACCTGGGAGCAGTGGTCAGGCAGTTGGATTAGATGATTGTTGTAGGTCACTTCCAAATGAACTATTCTATTCTATTCTATTCTATTCTATTCTATTCTATTCTATTCTATTCTATTCTATTCTATTCTATTCTATTCTATTCTATTCTATTCTATTCTATTCTATTCTATTCTATTCTATTCTATTCTATTCTATTCTATTCTATTCTATTCTATTCTATTCTATTCTATTCTATTCTATTCTATTCTAACTTCTATGCTCCTAGAGAAAAGTTAAATTATTCTTTCCCTTGCAATTTAAAGCTGGATGTAAGGCCCACAAGTGTAATTTTCTCCACCTGTAAAGTGGAAATGGTACGGCTCCCCCTTTTCGGTACTCCTCTATAGCTTAAATATGTGGTCTTTGTTAGCTTTATAGACCCAAATAATGACCAGCAGGAAATAAGGACCCAGATGTACTTGTCAGAACAGCAGTCTGGATGAGGATCATGCAGAAGACTGTACGCTGTAAACTATTTCTTTATAACATGTTGAAAAACTTGTGTACATAAATACTTTGGATTTTGCCATCTGGTTCTGTATTTCCTTGCTTTTGGTTTCCATCATCTTGTGTGATGTTGGTTTGTCTGAAGCTCACTTTAGTGAGAGATCCTGTTGCTGGCAGTCTCACTCAGTCATCTGCTAGTGAGGAAAACAAAGAGCAGTAGTGGAGTCATACATGTCTCTCAGGCCAGGAAATCAAAAATGGATCAACTCTTCTCCCTTCAGCAGTGCTACCTGAGCAGCCTTCCACTCAAGGCATGAGCTATATTTGTAGCTGCCAAGGGGAATTTGCTCAAGGATGAATAAACACAGATAACGGACTAGAGGTTTCCCTACTCCTTTTGTTCCCCCTTGAAAGCCTCCATGCTCACACCTCTTTTCCTTACCCTAAGTATAAAACTGAATCATAGAATGGTTTGGGTTGGAAGAGACCTTAAAAGATCATCTCGCCCAACCCCCCTGCCATGGGCAGGAACATCTCTTTCACTGATAGCTCTGTCCCACTCCACCCCTATATAGGGGACACTCAGCTTCCTAGTAGTTTTGTCCTCTCTTTAATCTGGGAGCTCTGAAAGAAAGGTCTGTCCTGCCCTCTGGATTCACGGACCCCAAAGATACTTTGATTTACACAGTGCTGTGTTAGTGCTTCAGAAGAACAGTCAGAGTGGTAATAATCGAGAGGAGGAAAAAAACAACAGAGGGGAAAGTCAAGTAGGTAATGTAGGACTGGCAGGTAAGTGGCCTGGAACCTAACTGTGGTCAAACAGAGGACTTGTCTGACCCTGAGTTACTCACTTTGCATCTGTATTTCCCTTCCCCCTTCTTCTCACTTCTTGGGTCTGTCTACACTAGTGTTTCAGTTTAGACAGCGAATGCATTTTTTAAAAGACTCTCCCTGATTTCCCATGCTTTGATTTGCTGTATGGAAGGATCTCAGAGCATGCAAGCTGCACTCCTTTCAGATGAAACTAAGCCAGAAAACATGTTTCAAGAGGGTCCCCTGCACTCCAACCAATCTTGGGCATCCCATCCTTGGGATCAGACAGGAGCTAGTCCAAAGTATCCCCCAAACACCTACCATGGGGATTTCAGGTCATCAGCAATAACTGTCTCACCCTACAGATTTTCTGCAGTTAAGATACATTAATAGCTAGTATAGACACAACCTTCATCACGACAGTTATATGAGTATTTTAAAGCAGAGACAGGTTCCAGTAATCTGACTTTAGAGTGCATAGCACAACAGGGCCCCAGCTACAGCTTAGGCAGCCTCTTGGTACTGCTACAATGCAGTTGAAGAATGATGAACTACTTCATTACCATTCTCATCTTCTGTGAAGACTGTCTGTCCCTTAAAGACTTTTGTTCCTACTTGTATCTCCCCTGGCCGCATGAAGGGTCCACTTATTCTGTAGTCCTTACACAGCTTAGTGAGGATTTCGCTTGGCTTGGTTGCATCTCGCCATGCATTGTACCCTTCTCTGCAAGGACGAACAGAGAGTGAAGAGAAATGAGTGAGGTTTTCCTCAGCAAAGTGCACTGGCAAATCAGGACTTCCCATGCAGATATCCTTTTTGTGGTCAGTGGCCCTGACATCTGCTCAGCCAAACTTTCCCTTTAAATTGTCCAGCACTACTTCTTACTTGAGACACCCCCCCTGCCTGCTTAGGTCCTGGGGCCAATCATTCCTTTCTCTTAAAACACAGGAGAAGTTGAGGCAGCCTTGCCCATAGCTTAGAGAGAGTAACCCAGCATTGGCATGCTCCTAGAGGAAAAAGACCAGAGCTCATTCCCTGTTCTACCTAAAGGATTCAAGTCTACATGTTCTACCCCCATTTAAGCAGAAGTGTTCTGTGGCTCCCACATGCTGAGGAGAAGCCGAGATTATCTGGACCTGGAAAAAGCACATAAAGAAATACCTCACACTGGAGACTGAGCTGGCAAGGGAAGTCTTGGGGTTTGGTCTGCACTCCTGGATTGCTTTTTTACATTGTCCACCCTTTGTTTGTAGATAGAGAAAGAAACATAGGAGAAGAACCCCAAACCCACATCTCCTAAGACAGTGCCCCACCCCAGGGCAATGGAGTTATTTTAATTTGACTTTCTCTACATTAGTTAATCTTCGTGCACAACGTCCTTGAGAGTTCAGCCGTGTGACAGGGACCAGGAGCTCAGCACCACTGCCCTGTGACTCACCTCTGTTAGAGAGGACATGCCAGCAGCCCCACTCTGTTCCTGCTCCCCTCAGGGCCACACCAGTCCCACCGGCCTTGCTGCAATCTCTCCAGTTGCAGCTGAATAATGGAGAGCAGAGTAGGGCCCTGTCATAACTTCTCAGACACATTTTTTTCCATTTTCCCTTTATGCCTGTCCAAAGGCAGTTTATCAAGCAGGTATGTTATACATAGGCTGTTTACTATCTAAAATACTTGGTGAACAAACAGTGTTGCTAATTTTAAAATATCCACTTCCTACTGAGGCTGGCAGCTACCCTAAGCTCTTTGGTGAAATTTAATTAAAATACCTCCTGTGACACTTTTGTGCTGGAGGAAGATAATATTTAGCCACATCTGGAACTTCTCCTTCAAGTCAAGTCATTCACTGTATGCTGCTCTCTGTTGCTGTCTGAAGAGGTACTTACATTTCATATTGACTTTGTAACCCACAGGTAGCTCGATGCCTGCTGTAGAAACGATTTTCCAAATCAATTTTAGTCTCTCCAATGAGATCATCTGTTCCCACGAAGTCATGGTCATAGATCAGGACAGTGAGCAAGGAATCCTTGGGGAATGTAGCTTGGATTTCAAATGATCTACAGCAAAAATTGAGACCTACGTGCAGTCAAATCAGTTTTGAAGTCTAAAAAACTAAGTTAATAATACTGTGCAAACAACGTGTGGACAGTGTCTCTTCTAATAAGCAGTGGGGGTTTTTTGGTAGCGCTTTTGTTTCAATCAAATATCTGAACATACTGGAAACAGACAGTGCAAAAGTATTTTCTTTCTCCTGCTTCCCTAATACCCCCTGTACAGTTCTAAGATTGTTCCTACCTACAGTAGACAGAGCAATGGGACGGAGCTGGTCAGCTGCAATGATTTATCCTGAATCCAATAGAGGTGGAAGTATGGAAATTACAAGGCTAATGAAGCCGTATGTAAGAGTTCTTACACGCTTTTCAGAACCTCCCAAAGGGACATCTGAGTCTTTTCTGTTTTCTTCCAAAAGCTCCAGGTTAAATATTGAATATAGGAATCTGGGGGCACCCAACAAAATGATCAGGCAAAAGCTTTAAACAAGTCTCAAAAAAGCAAAGATCAGAACTCCCTTTTCACTCGGTGCATTTTTCAGGTTTAGGATCATTGTCATTGAGGTGTTTAGGGAAGCTGACAATATAAAAGTGATTTTAAAAGGGATCTGACAAATTAGTGGAATACAGGACATTCTCATCAGCACAATACTAGCTCCAGATTTCTCCAAAGCACAGGCAAAACTGAGTTTTGTCTCCTGAAGGACGAGTTTTGTCCTTTCTCAAAGTGGCCAAAGTCAATTTTGTAGCAACAGCAGAGCAGTTTTTGGAGGAGAGAAAGATTTGGGAACAGTCTGGGATTGCTAGAGGTTGGTGGTGCCATGCTGACCAGGGCTTCTAGGATGATGAGAGGTGGTTACTATGACTGATGTTACTGCTGCGAAGGAGTTGCTGGTCCAGTCACCCCCATGTTGCCACTGGCAGCAGCAGCAAGGCTGAACACAGTGACTTAAGGAATAGGGGGGCATGGCAACAAGTTCCTGCCTGGTGCAGCAGGCGTGTGTCCACCTTCCCAGGTGCCCTTGAATAATAGGTACGAGGCTCTGCAAGTGGAACCGAACAACGACGAGGACGATGGTTCACCTAGCTTGGTGGTGTCGCTGAGGTTAAGTCTGCCTACACCCTGTGCCAAAACAGTTTCCATAAAGAAAAAAAGACAGGTCATTGTCATAGGAGACTCCCTTCTGAAGGGAACAGAAGGCCCAATATGCAGACCAGGCGCACTTCTTAAGGAAGTCTGCTGCCTCCTGGGTTAAAGATGTGAAGAGAAAACTTCCTACCCTGGTATGGCCCTCAGATTACTATCCATTACTGATTTTTCAGGTAGGCAGCAATGAAGTTGCAACAAGAAGTCCGAGGGCAATCAAGAGAGTCTTCAAGGCCTTGGGATGACTGGTTAAGGCATTAGGAGCACAAGCAGTGTTCTCCTCTACCCTTCCAGTTGCAGGGAATGATGAGGGAAG